CGGGTCCAGTGACCCTTCCTCAGGGTCCCCAGTTCTGAGAACGTGTCACCGGACTCGAAACGTAACTCTGTTTTCTCCTTCACCGATGCTGCCAGACCTGCTGAGCTTTTCCAGCAACTTTGTTTTTGTTCCTGATTTACAGCATCTGCAGTTCTTTTGGTTTTCTTTAGTTTCCCCTTATCTTCACGATCATGTGGAGAGCAGAAGTGTGCCTCATCTTGGGCATTCTTGTCTGGGATCCTCATGTACAAAGGATTCAACATAGCTGAACATTTCCTTCATGGACCTCTTGGTTCCATAAGCACAATGATTGGGAAAAGGGCTTGGATCATGGAATTGCCATTCACTGACTATTTCTGAGATGTCTGTGGGTGCTGTGGGGAGTGCCTGGTTGGAGCTGCTTCACTGAGATGTGGATCAGGATGGCTGCAGGGAAGGTGCTGCATTAGAATTCCTATCCTCCTATCTCATTCCTTGATCATCTTGACTGGGGCTCTTTGTACTTTCACTATCCTGCAGTGTCGTACCAACCAGAAGTCCCACGATAGGGTTCCAAAGGGGAGGCAAACCTTTTCTAGCCCAGTCCACCTATGTTTGTAATCACCTTCCCCTAACTCACTCTCTTCAACATGGTGAAGATTAACTGGTGCCAGTTTCCAAAGTTCTCCATTAATAATGCCAGAGTCTAGGGACCCACAGTGGAGCCTCACCATGCCAACAGCGATGGAGCATTAATGGAGAATGAAATTGAACAGGAGAGTATTGTGAGTTGTATGGCAATTGGTGTGATGACTGTGATGAAGTAGCTTAATATTGTGACTGTGGTATTAACCATTTGCTGCTGTTTTTAGAATAAAAAAGAACATATTCATTGGACGACTTTCACTGTCACATAAACAGCTGTACATGTTGTTGTTGAGGCTGCACCTGGAGTACAGTGTAAAGTTGTGGTCACTGTATTTAAGAAAGGATGTGCTGGTATTGGAGGCAGTTCAAAAGAGATTCACTAGGAAGATTACTTGGATGAAGGGATTGACTTAGCAAGAATCAGTTAAACAGCTGAGGCCTTTATTCATTAGAGTTTGGAAGAATGAGGGTTGACCATATTGCAACAGATCATATTCTGAAGAGGCTTGACAGGGTAGATGTTAAGAAGATGTTTCTGCTAAGTGAAACAATCTTGAGCCAGGGGATATAGTTAAAGAATAATGAGAAGTTCATTTAAAACTGAGAAATGAAGGAATTTAGTCTCCCAGAGGGTAGTGAATGTCTAGAATTCTGTATCCCGAAGAGCTGTAGAGGCTAGATCACTGGAAGTCACAAAGCAGAAAGTAAATTTTTGAAATATCAGGGAGATGGGCTGTGAGGAGCTGCAAGAGATAGGAATAAAGGCCTTTGGCAGAATTTTATAGAAAGCTGGGACTGGCTTGGGAGGCCACCTGGCCGACTTCAGCTTCTTTTTCTCATGTTGTTTTGTTCTTACCAGTTAACATTCCAACCTACCATGCAATTACACATGCCGGTCCCTCCCATACCATCGATGCACACTCCTTTCCTTCTACAAGGGGATGCTGCTCCTCCTGGGCATTCTGTAATCATATGAAATCATGTATCAGAGCACTATATAGAATTACATTCAGCCTACAACTGAGAAACAGGCCATTCAGCCCAACAGGCCCATGCTGTTTTTTCTCATTCATTTGTGGGACGTGGGCGTCACTGGCTGGACCAGCATTCATTGCCTAGTTGCCCTTGAGAAGGTGATGGTGAGGCGCTTCTCGAACTGCTGTATTCCATGTGATATTAGTAGACCCACAATGCCCTTAGGGCGGGAATTCCAGGATTTTGACCTCGCAACAGTAAAGGAACAGCAATACATTTCCAAGTCAGGATGGTGAGTGACTTGGAGAGCATCTTGTAGCTAGTGGTGTTCCCATGTATCTGCTGCCCTTGTCCTTCTAGATGGAAGTATTTGTAGGTTTGGAAGGTGCTGTCTAAGGATCTTTGATGAATTTCTGCAGCCTTATAGATAGTACACACTGCTGCTACTGATCATCGGTGGTGGAGGGAATGGACACTTGTGGATGTGGTGCCAATCAAACGGGCTCGTTTGCCCTGGATGGTGTCAAGCTCCTTCCCATTGCTTTACCAAAACTATCAGTGTTAACCGTTCTGCTCCTTTCTCCCTCGCACAACTTCCCCTTGAATATATTTGTAGGTGATCACCTTAAGCACTCCCTGTTATTTCGAGTTCAATATTCCTACCAGCCTCTGGGTGAAGAAATTTCTCCTTGATTCCCCATCAGATTTATCAGTCATTATTTAATGTTTATGGTCATGTGTTTTTGGATATCTCCAAGAGGTTTATGCAGCTCAACGTTAAACTGGTTGCATACTATTGAAAATATAATTAACATTTAGTTAATTGATTGATTTGATTTATTGTCACGTGTACTTAAGTACAGTGAAAAGCTTTATTTGCTAGCATTGCAGGCAGATCATAGTAAGCAAGGACATACAGATCATAAGGTGAAATAAACTTGAGCAGAGTGAGGCCTACAGGCTACACCACCCAGAATGTGCGCAAAGCATGATCAATATTAACAAGATTAATGAACCTTTGGGCAGAACAATAATTTATAAATGGTAGTTATTACAAGGTTGATACCTGTAGAATGCACACAGACTACAATGCAGATTTCTAATTAAATCCTCAAGTTCCTCTGGAAGTTTGCAAATATTGCACATCTTCCCAGCTGACCATAAGACTTTGCAAAATTCACCTTTGAGAAATCTTGAAAGTATGAGGAAAATGTACATTACAAAGAAAACTGCATTAATCTAGAGTTGGATTTAAACCCCATTTCAGAGCTTTGAACATATAATATAGGCTACTTTCCCAGTGCAGTAGTAAAGTCTCTGTCTGTCTGTCTGTCTATCTATCCGTCTAACTCTCCACATGTCTACATGGGTGGCATGGTAGCTCAGTGGACAGTACCACTGCCTCACAGCAGCAGGGACCCAGGTTTGATTCCAGCCTCAGGTGACTGTCTGTGTGGAGTTTGCACGTTCTCCCTGTGCCTGTGTGGATTTCTGCTGTGACCTCCAGTTTCCTCGCACAGTCCAAAGATGCGCAGGCTAGGTGGATAGGCCATGCTAAATTGCCCATAGTGTCCAGGGATGTGTAAATTAGGTGGATTAGCTGTGGGAAATGCAGGGATAGGATACAGGGTGTGATGTTCTTTGCAGAGTTGCTGCAGACTTGTTGGGCCAAATGGCCTGCTTCCACACTATAGGGATTCTTTGAATTCATCCATCTACTTTCTTCACTAGTTGCAAAGAAAATAGAAAAATTATCAAAGCAAAAGAAATAACAAGTATCCAACATAAGGGGAACATATATTGCTTTCCAGCATTTCTCACTGAAGTTATGGCAGATGACTGAACATGACTCTCCTGAAAAGGCATTATGTCCACTTTTTCCTTTCAGATACTCTTTACGGCCCACTTCTGTGACCAAGCTTTTGGTCAGTCTTCCTACTGTTTCTCTTTGCCTCAATATGCGTGTGGTTTGGACCACTCCTCTGTAAAAGCCCTGGGAAATTTTTTTTCCCATTAACTCCCGAACATATGTGATAGGTTGTTTAATGACAAAACTGAAACTTCAGTTCTCACTCGAAAGATTTCGTATGAAATAGATGAGCAGTGAACAATTTAAACTGTCTCAGATAAATGAGATATCGCAGTGCTGAGAATGTGTTAACAATCCTTACTAAATCAAATGAATCTGCTTTGTATCCCATACTGGAGTCTTTCTTATCAAGTCCTGGGACACCCAGATTGGCAATAGGCTGACACAGCTTGAGTTACTGCAGGAATTTTTCTGATTCATTCATCCTGTACTCTTTGCTCCTTTTTTGTCATCACTTTCAGCAGTTCTATCAAGAGGAAGAATCTTTATCCTTAACTTGCCACTTTAAAAGCCTCCTTATCAGTGATTTACCACTTCCCACAAAAGCCTTACCAATTATATGACGTCTCAGTTATTCCTGTTCTCATGTTTTGTCAAAGATAAGGAACACGGTATTGCTTGAACTTTCTCACAAAATGTCATCATCATCACTTTCTTAGTTTTTGTATTTGCCCGGTCTGTGGCTCCGTCCTCTATGCAGTGGCCCGATGCCTCACAATAAGGGCAGTAAGTACAAGTTGCAATGCCCACTCCAGAGAGGTTAAACCTACTTAAACATCTGTTTCTCACTCAACAACATAAATTGCATTGATACAGCATATCTTTGTCATTGTTGACTGTCCTATATTGCTGCTTGAATTGAGTGGGGTGAGGCTTTTAGAAAAGGTATTTTAGTCTGGCGGATAAGAAACCAATTTAAAAGGCTAATACTGGGTGGCATGCTGGCACAGTGGTTAGCACAGCTGCCTCACAGTGCCAGGGACCCAGGTTTGATTCCAGCCTTGGGCAATCGTCTGTGTAGAGTTTGCACATTGTCTGCATGTGTTTCCTCCAGGTGCTCCAGTTTCCTCCCACAGTCCAAAGGTATGCAGGTCAGATGGATTGGCCATGTCAAAGTGTCCAGGGATATGCAGGCTAGGTGGATTAGCCCTGGTGAATGTGGGGATTGGGCGGTGCTGGGTGGGATGCTCTTCAGAGGGTCAATGCAGACTAGATGGGCCAAATGGCCTCTCTCTGCACTGTAGGGATTCTATACTAAGAACAGTTGTTTCGTTGCGATGAATACAGAATAATGAGAATGTTAATTTAAAATATATGAGGGGGGGTTGAGTCTCAGGTTTTGAGGTCAGACACAATGCTGTGGTGACAGCACATGCCCATGGTATGCAGCGAGTCATTGGGTCCAAGCTGCTGTCGGGGCCACAGGCAAGATAGGCAGGAAGGTGAAGTGGACTTGTACCCCATTGTAGGTACAGGATAGCCCTCTTCCCCTGGAGCTCCTCAACCAACACCTTCTGCTCCATGTCCAAGAACGTGTGTGGCCTCGCTGTCTCTCCCTGAGCCATTCTGAAACATACTTCTGAGTACACCATTGCACTTCACACTTTGGTGGGAGTGGGTGCATAGAACACACATATTTAGCTCCATAAAAATTGAATCTAACCTGTAGTGAGTGCTCAAGAGAAAGCAAAGGTCCGGTTTCTATATAATGCCTTTCATAACCTCCAGAATTTTCTGCTGTATTATTGCATAGATTCCAGCCTAGAAAAGCAGTATAGCGTTAAGACAGTTACATAACGTCACAACATGTGATGCTCCATTACAAAGGTCCTCAATTCTTGTAACTCCCTGCTCAGTGTGATGGAGTCAGTGTAATGTATTCAGTCAGTTATGTATGTGTAATGATACAGTAATAGCGAGTAAGCACGGAACCCAGTCTGCCTTTCAGTCTGACATATCATTACAGTGTAAATAGTTAGCGTTGTTAATAAACTTCAAGGCATCTGTCTCAACAAGAACCCAGTCTTACACAGCAGCCATTTCTGAGGATAACCCTCTTGCTCATCTTCCAAATGCTGCCATGAGATCTTTACATCCATCTCAGAAAGTAGAGCAACCTCAGTTTTAACGTCGCACTTTAAAAGCAACATCTTTCATTCAGTAGTGCCAGCCTACAGTTTTATTCTCTAGTTATGGAGTAGGACTTTGAACCGATACCTACTGATTGAGGGTTGAGAATAAAACTGACTGAGATAACTCATCCGATAACTTCCTTGCATTTTTCTGGTTACCTCCTGCAAGTTCTTTTAAATCATTATAATCGTATTTAATCCAAAAATTAGATGTTTTTTCAATAATCGGATGGGGGCACCACCAGTAAGCCAAGCATTTGTTGCCCATTCCTAAATGCTCTTTGATCTGAGTGGCTTACTTGGACAATCAGAGCTAATTGCTGGAGGCACACGTAGGCCTAGGCAGGTAAAGATATAACATTGGGTTTTACAAACAGCAATGATAGTTTCATGATCATCATTTCCAAAACTAACTTCAGATTCCAGATTTTATTCATTCCATTTAAGTTCCACCAGCTACCACAGTGGTATTTGAACTCATGTCCGCAGAGCAGTGGGCTCATTATCTCTGGCCTATTAGCACAGTGATATATCACTATACCACTATGTCTGAAATCCAGACGTTCAAACAACTTGACATATCAATGCTTTAGATGAGGGAGCTAAATGAAATATCTTCTAATTTGCAGATGACACAAAGCTGTCAGAAGATGCAGAGATGCTTCAATGTGATTTGGACAAATTGAGTGAGTGTGCAAATACATGGCAGATGAATTCTAAAGTGATTAAATGTGAGGTTATCCACTTTGGTAGCAAGGCAGGTTATTATCTAAATGGTGATATGTTGGGAATCTGGGAAGAGGTTCAACAAGACCTGGGTGTTCTTGTGCACCAGTCGCTGAAAGCAAGCATGCAGGTGCAGCAGACAGTGAAAAAGACAAATGGTATAACAAGGTGTGGAGCTGGATGAACACAGCAGGCCAAGCAGCATCTGAGGAGCAGGAAAGCTGACGTTTCGGGTCTAGACCCTTCTTCAGAAATGGGG